CTTCCCTTATTCTGTCAACTGCAGGCGAGCCACTCAACACCCGTGACATCGCCCCGCTACTGCCGGCCTCCCCCTGCCGGACACACTCTCTCTCCCTCCCTCTCTCCCTCTCTCTCTCTCTCTCTCTCTCTCTCTCTCTCTCTCTCTCTGTCCCTCACACACACACTAACACATAGGCGGGCGTGGGCGGAGGGTTATTGTTGTGACAGCAGAATATTTTCAATCATTTCGTTAGCCGCAATAATAGGCCCGGCAGGGCACACGCGTGTCGGTCCGACGGTCGCCGCGCGCGCGTTTGATACGCGTCTTCTGTCGCGCCTGCTGTCGGGAGAGAGAGAGAGAGAGAGAGGGAGAGAGAGAGAGAGAGAGAGAGAGGGAGAGAGGGGGGCAGAGAAAGAAGGGGTTCGCGTGCGAGAAGCGAGTTCACCACGCCACGCCCGCCACGCGCCCCCGCCCCGCCCACCACAGATGAATATTTGAAGACGGCGCCCGCAGATTGAATGCAGACGTGCAGGCGAATATAAGGCGAGAGGCGCACAACAAGCCCGGCCCCCCACCCGGCCACCAGCCCCGCCCGCGGGCCAACAACAAAATAAATACTTCCAACGATGTATGCGAACCCGTACAAGATGAAATCGATCTAGAGTGTCTCGAGCCGAGATATTGTAAAGACAAAATGCAGACGCCGTTGAGTCTTTTTCGAGACTTTCTGGAGACGGTTTCAGAGACGGCGTCGAGACTTTAACTAGTCAGTGTAGAGATACTTTGGAGACATCGCAAATGTCTCAAGAACGACTGTTTCCTGTCTCGGGATTGAGACATTATGGAGACATCGTCGAGCCGTTTCTCTCGAGACGGTTTGGAGACAATCTAGAGACGGGTCGACGAAGAACCCGTCAAAAGGGAGGATACAGGGCTGAGCCATGGCGGGAAGTGACGTAGGTGTGTGAGTTGAGTAAATTCGGCAAAACGTCAGGCGAGTGTGCGCGCCGTTGACCATCCGTTTGAACACTAAGCCGGAATGAGCATCATCAAAAATTGTAGCCCGCCATTTTCAGGCGGGGAACCCAGGGGTGAATCGCCCGCAGGCTCTCATAGTACTGTCGTTGTCAGGTCCGCTCGCGCAAGACTATCGTGCCCAGATGCCAAAGCGCCACCTATTGGCGAAGCAGTTGTACCCCTACAATGCGTCCATGATAGCTTGAGAGAGTCTGTGGTAGACTATACGGTGTCTCAAACATGTCTCCAAAATATCTCGAGAAATTCTTTGCCATGCCAATAGGTGGCGCTTCGGCATCTGGGCACGATAGTCTTGCGCGAGCGGACCTGACAACGACAGTACTATGAGAGCCTGCGGGCGATTCACCCCTATGTTCCCCGCCTGAAAATGGCGGGCTACAATTTTTGATGATGCTCATTCCGGCTTAGAGTTCAAACGGATGGTCAACGGCGCGCACACTCGCCTGACGTTTTGCCGAATTTACTCAACTCACACACCTACGTCACTTCCCGCCATGGCTCAGCCCTGTATCCTCCCTTTTGACGGGTTCTTCGTCGACCCGTCTCTAGATTGTCTCCAAACCGTCTCGAGAGAAACGGCTCGACGATGTCTCCATAATGTCTCAATCCCGAGACAGAAAACAGTCGTTCTTGAGACATTTGCGATGTCTCCAAAGTATCTCTACACTGACTAGTTAAAGTCTCGACGCCGTCTCTGAAACCGTCTCCAGAAAGTCTCGAAAAAGACTCAACGGCGTCTGCATTTTGTCTTTACAATATCTCGGCTCGAGACACTCTAGATCGATTTCATCTTGTACGGGAACCATGATGCAGCTATACGGTTGTAAAGACACACAAGGCGCTCCATTTACGTTTGCTTTGCCATACCGTCTTTGCCATCACGCAATGTTACTGCTCGACCGACGTTCGGAGTTCAACTGTATAATAATTGGGACACGACGACTTAGGACGAGTCGGAGTGAGAGGGTTAAAGCCGGTTAAAGCCAATTGCATGGAGGGGTATTTTACTACGCCTTTGTCCGACTAAAGCGAAGTGGGCCGGCGAGTGCAGCCAGTCTGCCCGCCTGCTCTCTTCCGTGGCGCACGGAATCAAATAAAAAATGGCCCTATTTCATTGGCGGGACGAGTCTAGGGGGCGGCGATCACACCCCGGGCCCCTCCTCCCCCTCTGGGGCCAGCCTCGAATTAGTCGAGCCTCGACAGACTCACTAATGCACTCATTGTCAGGCAGATGCTCTCCTCACTTCCCTCGCAATTTATGTAGAAAATTCAAACCGCTGCTTGAGGAGAGAAAGGATATATATTTTCAGAGGCCTCGCCCTTCTTTTTCTTCTTCACACTTTCTCCTTTCCCCCCGCTGCTCCCACCCTTTTTTTCGCGCTTCGGTAGCCTAACGCGGTAGATTACATTACTGTAGCAGCGAGACGTGGGGTTAATTATTCGACCGTCACCCTCTGCTGCTCCGTTTCTGGCCTTAATTTATTTTTATCTTATTTCTTCGTCTTTTTTCTTCCTTTCCTAGTCGTGCCCCAAGATGTGCTTCACGTTTTGACAAACGCGCCGTCTAACTCCCGCTCTCCAGCATCCCGCCTGTCTGCGTCTCTCAACTCTCATTCTCTTTCCCTCTCTCTCGCTGACTCTCGCTCCCGCTCTCCACTGAGAGAGGCCCTCCCGGGTCGTTATTCCGAGTCATTTATGGCCGGCAGTTCGCAATGTTTGATTCGCACTAAAAGGATAATGCAACGCCTCGCACAGAACACGCCCCTCACCAGCAGTGTGAAAAACCACTGTGAAAAATAACTAATGTAAATGTACTGTAGTTTTTTCGTTTTTATTAATAAGTTGTTGCAAAATATACAACAAACCAAATCTGCTATGTAATTCCTTTTACAGTCGTTAGTAAAATAGGGCCCACAGGAAGGAATGAACCCCCCCTTCCTCAAATGAGGGTGCTGTTTTTGGTGCAGTATCACCTTCAAAAATTTTAGTAGTAGCCCAAAACGGGAGCATTCTTGTTTTTGTCGGTTTTTGTGCACAAATGGCACGCTTACACAGACAAACGCAACGGATGCCGCTGCTCACCTGCGACCACCAGGTTGGTGTACACGAGCCGCGTGACGAACGTGTCGTCGGTCGTCACCTCGCAGCTCAGGTTGCCGGCCAGCGAGGGGGACACCTCCCCGAGGTACACCTGCGTCTGGTTGGAGCGCTGCAACTGCAACACAAACAGCAAAAACAAAGAAACGAAATTAATCATAAAGCACTGGCGAAAGCGCAAGAACGCGGCGGGAGGCACAATCATCTCCCTTCTCCGCGAACGGCGCGGCACTCGGGCCATCCATCATGCGCGGTGGGAGGTCGCGGGAGCGGGTCGGGAGCGGGTCGGGAGCGGGTCGGGAGCGGGTCGCGGGGACGGTCCACCGCGGCTAAGGTTTTCATCATACCTGCCGCTGTGGCCATTGTTTCTATTCGACCGCCAATCAATCAGACGCGTCGGGCCGCGCCACCCGAAACCCACGCGTTATTTACGGCAACTGTCACGGCATAATATACTGATATACGTATGAGCTCTCGCGGTTACCCCGTGACCCAGTCAGCCGGCGGGCGGCGGGGTGGGGCGTATGGTGGGGCACGGTGGGGCGTGGTGGGGTGGGGTGGGCTAGCTGCTGTGTATCCCCTCTGTTTCCATCTTGCTCAGAAAGATTCATAGACATAGACATGACCCGCGACCCACAAACCTATGGGCATGTGTCGAGATGTGATGTCCCAAGTGAACACGTGCGTGAAGAGGGAGCATGATGGAAGTTTAATCATTACTGTACTGATGGCTGATGCTCTCTCTCTCTCTCTCTCTCTCTCTCTCTCTCTCTCTCGCTCGCTCACTCTCTCATCCAGCATATGAAATATGGAGCTTGGCGCCTGCCAGAATCCGGGTAGGCCAGCCCGCAGTACACGCATGCGCTGCACGCAAGATGTTGCCTACCTATCAGGTGCTACAAAAGCTTGCACAGGCTGAGACTCGGCAAAATTGTAGCGGCGGATAATAAATGAAATCTTTCTGGTTGATGCGGGATGATCCTGGTCAACTGGTCAACTCTACGCGTTTTCTCTTGTTGCGTCGTCTGAGGTTCAGTAGTAGGCTCACTCCAAACAGGGAGATTTCTTTCTTTTTGTCTCTCCCTCACTGTCCCTGGGGATGTTATACGTATCTGCCTGCCAGGAGTATGCGTGTGCGTGCACGTGCGTGTGTGTGTGCGTCCGTCTCTAGGGCGCAGTCCTGTGAGCCTAGACGCTGTATGCAGGCGATGGGAGGAGGAGGTAGGGGAGAGAGATACACGTACACGCGCCGAGAGAGAGAGAGAGAGAGAGAGAGAGAGAGAGAGAGAGAGAGAGTGAGGGTGGGGGAGGCCAGCAAAAGAGACGAAAGATACGTGTCCTTGGCCGAGAGGCGGAAGTCGCAAACTACAACTAGTAGTGCGGAAACGATAACGAAAACTCCGCTCGCCGGAAACAAGTCACATCGGAAAGTAGCTTCGGCGGCAGAGCGATGAGAAAGTAAGGCAGAGTTGGCGAAGGGTTTGAGGAGGAGGGGGGGGAGGCTGATTACCGAGCGTCACTTCCTCTCGTCCTACACTGCGCTGCGGACTGAACGAGGTCAGGTGCGTGCGGGAGGCGGTCCATAGGGCGGCGCGGGGGGAGCTGGGAAGGAGGAAGGGGAGGGGTCCGAGCCTATCGGTGGCACTGCCGCCCGTGTAATACGGTATCCTGCCCCTCCCTTTACCCTCCACCCCACCCCTTCCTTCCTTCTCCCACCTACAACCCCCAGGGTGGCAGCTTGCATCCCCCAGAAACTCGAATTTTCTCATCACAGAGCCTCATTGATATTTTCCTCCCATCCTGGACGGCTTCGCCCTGACCCACCGCCAAACTCCAGAAGGCTGCCCACCTCGCTTGCTACGCCCCCTTCCCCTCTCTCCCGATGTCCCCCTCTATTCCTCTATCTGAACCCTCGCTGGCTGCAAAGAGTCATTTTTCTGCTTTTTGTCTCAACAGAAGTGTGGAATTCAAGCTTAAATCATACTAGCAAGTAAGTAAGTTAGTCGAAATTATTTGAACCGCAGTGCCACGAGT